ACTGTAATGAGTTTAAACTTGACTTATTCACACCAGGTGACTTGTGTGCATTCTGATGGCAGAAATATCCTCAGGCTGCTTGCCTTGGCTATGCTCAGGTGCAGTTGGTATATAGTGATAAGAAAAAAATATTGTGAAACAGAGACTGTCATATTTTATGCACTAATGCTATTACCCTTCTGCTTTCCAACTGTGTATAGAATTATTTTATAGTGAATATTGCACCTCCTGAGTTTCAAGCATTCACATAGCCATCAGTCACTCTGATTGTTCCTCAAAGTCATTTATCTGCACAAAAACTAATGATTGACCGTTAGCCAGTTACATCCTTACTGCTAGTGGAAGTGGCATAATTTTACCACTCTTTGGTATAAAGTATAAAAAGCACAGATAAATGGCTTTTATCCAACCAGGACATATAGCTCTTCATTGAAGGAGTGTACTAAAGGAAACAGAAACATAGTCACTTCTATTACTCTTTGTTAAGTATCATCATCTATAACTCTGGACAGATGTAGCTGTCAGGATCTGTATCACCATGATGTGAGTATACAGAACAAGATCTACAGAAGATCCCGCTAGACCCAAGAACACAGTTTTCGTGCATGGTATGTGAATAGATGCACTTCTCACCAGCTGTCACTAATGACAAATAGATAGTTGCACAAGTTCAAATAGTCAGGAATTTTAAGAGATTTAAAGCACTCAAGAATCGGCCATTGGGAAAAAGTCGATGCAAGGAAGATGCAAAGCTTGTATTTGCTCTTTAATAAAAGGATACATAAGACAACGTGTCATTGTTATTATCATTTGTATACTTTTAGAATCTTTTGAAATGTCAATGAAATTCCAAAGTAGCATACTAGCAATTTTCATAAACATTCTGTGTTTTTGAAAATATAAAACTTGACAGATTTGCTTTAATGTTTGTCCTAAAATGACTCTTAACTTGAAAAATTAATTCAGTAATGTAAATAAATTTTTGGAAAATCATTCTTAAGTAAAAATTTAAGAAACACTCCAAGAACCAAAACCACTACAGCCCGCCTCCCATTGTCAGTATTGAAACTATATGTGTTGGTTTGACAAATTACCTTGGGTCCACCAGGGATCTTCTCTACAGTGCATAAGATCTCCGCACTGAGCCAGCGCAACAGAGCATGTAGGTATTCATTGGCTGAGGGCGGTGAGCCGATGCTTTCAAAGCCGTTGCTTTTAATGTTCCTTTTTGAGCTTAAATAAACTGATGGGGAGTCAGCCTAAATAGCAGACCTGCAGGAATAGTTTTAGATGGTCCCAGCTTCTCCAGTGTCTGAGTGTGGGACTGGACATGAAGAGGAAAGATTAATTTCCAATATGCCCTCTAATCATCTCTCACACAGGTAATGCACTGCATGAGGAGCTCTAACAGGTACATACTGTATAACATCAATCTGACCGGTCTACAGAACACATAAGAAGGTTAGTACTTTGAAAATTATCCTTCACACTTTAGCATTCAATACCTAAAACAGAAAATAAATCCTTTACATTAATACTATGTTTAACTCCTCTTAAAAACTAAACACCCCATGTACAACAAAAAATGGGTCGCAAGAGTATTCTGAGAACGGACAGCAGCTAAAATAGTCTGCCCTTCGGTGGGTCCCCGCTCAGAACTCAAGCTGGTTTTAGCTCATCTTGTGCCATTATAGAGAGAACATATTTGAAGCATATCAGACTGGTCCCACCCATACGGGCAGTCCAGATCCGAAATGCCAGCAAGTTCTCTCTGCACGAAAGATACAGCAACCCCAGACGATCGTTTCAGCCTTGTTAGGCATCATCAGTGAGGCATAGCTGATATCTCTCTAGGCACCGTGAGCAAGGGGTCCACGTCTGGATTACCCTTTAAACTAATGGAGAGCAAAAAATGGGTCGCAAGAGTATTCTGAGAACGGACAGCAGCTAAAATAGCCTGCCCTTCGGTGGGTCCCCGCTCAGAACTCAAGCTGGTTTTAGCTCATCTTGTGCCATTACAGAGAGAACATATCTGAAGCATATCAGACTGGTCCCACCCCATGTACAATAACACTAAATTTAACTCAACTCATGCCCTAAATTCAATAATCCTAAAACACCCCATATATCTAAATGCTATATCTAATCCTACTCTGACCCTTAAAGGACCACTATAGGCACCCAGACCAATTCAGCTCAATGAAATGGTCTGGATGCCAGGTCCCTCTAGTTTTAATCCTGAAGCTAAAAACATAGCAGTTTAAGAGAAACTGATATGTTTCACTGAGGGTTAATCCAGCCTCTAGAGTGGCTGTCTCATTGACAGCTGCTAGAGACGCTTCTGCGATTGTCACTGTGAAAATCACAGTGAGAAGACGCTGGACGTCCATAGGAAAGCACTGAGAAATGCTTTCCTATGTAGGCTGTTAGAATGTGCGCTCGGCTCTTGCTGCGCATGCGCATTTGGAGCTGACGTCGGCAGAGGGAGGCTAGTTCATCAGCGCCGAGGGAGCCCGGCGCCTGAGAAATGTAAGTGGCTGAAAGGGTTCTAACCTCTTCAGCCCAGTGGGGGGGGAAGGGGAGGGACCCTGAGGGTGGGGGGACCTAATGACACTATAGTGCCAGGAAAACAAGTTTGTTTTCCTGGCACTATAGTGGTCCTTTAATAGCCCTTATACTACAACTTAAACTACACGCAAATCTACCTGTCCTCTCCTGATCTCTCCCCGTCCCTCTTGACTAGTGTCTCTGACTGCCTCTCTGCTGTCTCTAACTGGATGGCTGCCTACTTCCTTAAACTAAACTTGACCAAAACTGAAATTCTGGTCTTTCCTCCCTCAAGTGTTGTTACTCCTGTGTCTGTCTCCCTCCAAGTCAACGGTGCTACCATCAGCTCCACCACGCAGGCTCGCCTACGTGTTCTCTTTGACTCCGACCTCTCCTTCAAGCCTCATGTTCAATCTATCGCCAAATCCTGTCATTTCCATCTCAAAAACATTGCGCACATCCGCCCCTACTTAACACCAGATGCGACTAAGGTGTTGGTCCATTCCACTGTCCTTTCTCGCCTTGACTACTGTAATCTGCTTCTCAGTGGTCTTACGTGCTCCCAACTAGCGCCGTTACAGTGCATAATGAATGCGGCGGCGAGGCTCATCTTCCTGTCCGCCCGCACCTCCCATGACTCACCCTTCTGTCAGTCCCTACATTGGCTTCCTATAAAATATAGAGCTCAATTTTAAATTCTGATTCCTCTTCTGCAACTGTCACTAGTCTAATACTATCCTTACCTTTTTGTGTCATTTTACCCCACTCCCTCTAGCATGTAAGCTCATTGAGCAGGGCCCTCAACCTCTCTGTTCCTGTGTGTCCAACTTGTCTGGTTACAATTACATGTCTGTTCGTCCACCCATTGTAAAGCGCTGCGGAATTTGACGGCGCTCTATAAATATCATCATAATAATAATAATAATAATAACAACTTCAGCTTATCTCAAACTATTCATTATCTTAACACTGAACACCTATGTAATATAACTTTGATGTTAATCCATCTATTACATTAACCCACCCCTTTACTCTAACCACTACTAACTTTATCCCTGCATTGCATTTACACTGTTACATACACTCACTATACTCACAGATTCAAACATACAAGTAGGAATATGTGCACAGGGGCGGACTGAGAGCCTTTGGGGCCCCCGGGCAAAATTAGATCCCAGGCCCTTTGAAGGCCAAATATATGTTCATTAAAGAAATGTTAAATATAACTCATAATACGGCATTCTTTTGGATATGTATATTGTGAAGACCTGTGTATCAATGCATGTTTGTATTTGAGTCTGTGTGAATGCAGTTGTGCATGTCTGGATGACTACATGTGCTTTTTTGTATATAGTGACTGTGTGAATGCATATGTGACAGGTGACAGAGTGTGTGAGGGAGAAGGTGACAGGTGGAAGAGTGTGGGAGGTTGTGACAGGTGACAGAGTGAGGGGGTACCTGGTGGCAGAGTGAAGGAGGGGTTGAGTGGTGGCAGAGTGAGGGGGAGACACAGTGAGTGGGGGTGACTGGTGACAGAGTGAGGGAGTGGGTGACTAGTGACAGAGGGAGGAAGAGGGGGTGACTAGTGACAGAGTTAGGGAATGGGTGACTAGTGGCAGAGTGAGGAAGGGAAGAGATGACTAGTGGCAGAGGGACAAAGGTTTAAAAATAATATCAGGAAGTATTACTTTACTGAGAGGGTAGTGGATGCATGGAATAGCCTTCCAGCTGAAGTGGTAGAGGTTAACACAGTAAGGAGTTTAAGCATGCATGGGATAGGCATAAGGCTATCCTAACTATAAGATAAGGCTAGGGACTAATGAAAGTTTTTAGAAAATTGGGCAGACTAGATGGACCGAATGGTTCTTATCTGCCGTCACATTCTATGTTTCTATGTTTCTATGTTTCTATGAGTGAGGGAGGGAAGAGATGACTAGTGGCAAAGTGACTAGTGACAGGGGAGGGAAGAGTTGACTAGTGACAGAGTGAGGGGATAACTGGTGATAGAGTGAGGGGGTGACTGGTGACAGAGTGTGGGAGTGACTGGTGACAGAGTGAGGGAGTGACTAGTGACAGAGGGAGGGAGTGACTAGTGACAGTGGGAGTGACTAGTGACAGAGGGAGGTAGTGACTAGTGACAGAGGGAGGGAAGGGGTGACTTCACTAGTCACCCCATCCCTCTCTTTTTCACTAGTCACTCCCTCCCTAACTCTGTCACTGTGTCACCCACTCGCTTACTATTACTAGTCACCCCCTCACTCACTCTGTCACTAATCACCCCCTCTGTCCCTAGTCACCCCCTTCCTCACTCTGTCACTAGTCACCCCTCTCTCTGTCACTAGTCACTCCCTCCCTAACTCTGTCACTGTGAAGGAAGGAAGGGGTGACTGGTGACAGAGTGAGTGGATAACTGGTGACAGAGTGAGGGAATGACTGGTGACAGAGTGAGAGAGGGGGTGACTAGTGACAGAGTGAGAGAGGGGGTGACACAGTGAAAGAATGAGGAAGGGGGTGACACAGTGAGGGAGAGGGTGACACAGTGACAGAGTGAAGGAGCTGGTGACTGTCACTAGTCACCCCATTCCTCCCTCTGTCACTAATCACCACCTCCCTCACTCTGCCACTAGTCACCCCTTCCCTCCCTCACTCTGTCACTAGTCACCCCCTCCCTCTCTCTCTGTCACTAGTCACACCCTCCCTCACTCTGTCACTAATCACACCCTCCCTCACTCTGTCACTAGTCACACCCTTCCTCACTGTCACTAGTCACCTCCTTCCTCACTCTGTTACTAGTCACCACCTCCCTCTGTCACTACTCCCTCCTTCTGTTACTAGTCACCCCCTCCATTCCTTACTCTGTCACTAGTCACCCCCTAACTCACTCTGTCACTAGTCATCCCCCTCTCTCACTCTGTCACCAGTCATCCATTCACTCTGTCACCAGTCATCCGCTCACTCTGTCACCAGTCACCCCTTCCTTCCCTCATTCTGCCACTAGTCACCCCTTCCCTCACTCTGTCACCAGTCATTCCCTCACTCTAGTGACAGAGTGAGGGAGGGTGTGACTAGTGACAGAGTGAAGGAGAGGGTGACTAGTGACAGAGTGAGGGAGTGATTAGTGACAGAGTGAGGGAGGGGTGACTAGTGACAGAGTGAGGGAGGGGTGACTAGTGACCGGGGGGTGACTAGCGAGGGAGGGTGTGACTAGTGACACAGTGAGGGGGGTGACTAGTGACACAGTGGGGGGCTGACTAGTGAGACAGTGGGGGTGACTAGTGATAGTGAGGGGGTGACTAGTGAC